ACGTGTCGAACGCGCAAGAATACTGGGCTTACCCGGATCAATACCGCAAGAATATCGCGGGGCTTAATTTCGACGAGCAGTCGCGGGTCATCCACACGCTCTCGACATGGAGCACGAACAAGGATTACCGCTACGTGGTTCAGCCCGGCCTCAACTACCAGGAGTGGATGACGGCCGATTGGGTGCGTAAGGTGTATTACATGGTGCCGCGCCGTAAGCTCGAAGGGCCCGAGGATATCGACTTCATCTACTTCGATCGCGAGCTCAAAGAGGTCGAGGCACGTCGCGCGAAGAAGAAAAAGAAGAAGAAGAAAAAGTAAGCCGGGGAGACATGGTCTCGTTCGCAGGGAAAGAGAGGTTGCTCGGGGTTGGGATCGCCACGCTTGTCGCGTTGGTGTCTTGCACACAGCACACATCGAAACAAAAAGCCTCGGGCTCGCTCGAGTCCGAGGCTGCTGCCTCTCTCGGCGCTTCCCCTTCGCGCAGCGGCGCACCTCCTGCGGCGCCTCCAGCGCCTCTTGAAGCAGCGCCCGATACAGCACAAACCTCCCCGGAGACCCCCGTCGAAACCGCGCCGCAGGCCATTCGCGAGCCTGTGCGGTTCGCGGATGCTCCCGCGTCATCGACCACCTGCCCGATGCCATACAAGGCGTCGGAGAAAGCGGGTGAGCCCGACCAACTCCGTCCAAAGTTCGAACGCTCACAGGAGACGCTCTGGGTAGGTAAGGGTGCCAAACCAGGCGCCGCCTTTTCTCGAGGTGTGTGGACGCGAGACGCGGATGCGTTGCGTCCTCCTCCTTCTACCGCAGAACCAAAGCCAGAGTCCGAGGAGGAGCCAGCGCCAGGGGATGTCCCCATCGCGCCTCCTTCGGTGTTCTGGGCGCCCGCTTCGAAGAAGGCAAAGCTCGGCGATGGTTTTGTTCGCGCGCGCTTCTCGATCATGGGCGGGCTCGATTACGACCTCGTGTTGCGTGGCCAGCTCGACCCCGATGGGAAAAAGATCATCGATGGCTGGGGAGTGATTCTTCGCGATGGGGTGACCTGGGTGGTTCGCTATGGCGGAGACCGCCCCGGTGAGCAGCGCACGATGCTCGAGCGCCTCTACAAACTCGAGAAGCGCGAGGAGATCGAGATCCTGGCGTATGCGTTCGGAAATCGACTGCATGTTCAGGTTCACGATGCACGCAGCGGCGTCGAGCTGATTTCTTCTCAAATCGAGGATTCGACGATCCCTTCCTCCGGGATGGTCGGCGTCGCGGTACCACCCGAGCACGAGAACGGTCCTGGGGCGCTCCTGACGCACCTCTCGCAGCGCGAGCTGTGCAAGGCAAAGATCCCGGAGATGCCCGAGCAGCGCCCACCGCGCGTGTTTCTCACGCTATCCTCCTCTCAATGGGAGGCCACGCCAGCGCCCGTGCGCGCGATGTTGCTCGACCTCGAGCCAGCGGAGAGGCCGGAAGGGGCGAGGCGCTATCAGACGGACAGCGTGGGGATGGAGGCGCTCTTTTGTGCTGGGGTTCGGCCCATCGAGAGCACCGCCGAGATCCCCTGGAAGTACGTCGACGAGGAGTACCTGGCCAACAAGCACAGCCTCCCGGTCAAGGATGAGACCGGGATTCGCGTGGACCTGAGCTACAAGAATCCCGCGATGGTCGAGACCTTGATGCGGGCCTTTCACGAGGCCTACCCCGAGGTCACGAGGCTCGAGGTGATCGGGACCTCGCATCAGGGGCGTCCGATCCTCGCGATGGCGATCGCGGACAACCTCGTCTCCGATGATCCGAGGCCATCGGTGTTGCTGAACGGCGCGCATCATGGAGACGAGCCGATCTCGACCGAGATCGTGTTCGACGCCATCGAATATCTGCTCGACGAGCGCATCGAGGATCCTCGCAAGGCATTGTGGCGAGAATCATTCGTGACCTGGGTGGTGCCGCAGGTGAACCCGGATGGCGCGCACGCTTTCCTCGAGCAGTCGTTTCGCATGGGGCGAAAGAATGGACGGGAGGTCGACGGCGTCAGCGGACATCGACGCGATGAGGGCGTGGACCTGAATCGCAATTATCCGTTTCGCTGGCACTCGCTGGGAGAGGAAGGTTCGAGCTCGGAGGGTGAGTCCTCTTACTACCGCGGCGCGAAGCCCGGCTCCGAGCCAGAGACCAGGGCAATGATGGCACTCGCCGAGCGAGAGCGCTTCATCGCCTCGATCTCGTATCACACGGGCACGGTGTGCATTCTGGCGCCTTACACCATCGACGAGGTCGAGAACCCCTCGCCCAACGAGGCGTGGGAGATCGGCGGTGAGATATCGCGCGCGATGCCGAGGCACCCCGAGGGGAGGTCCTTTCGGTTGCGCAAGAACCTCTATCCAGTCGATGGGACGGATCAGGATTGGTTTCGCGCGGAGCATGGGACGGTCGCGTTGCTCGTCGAGGCGGTGCGGCGCACGCCTCGTAACTTCTGCGCCCGTCGACCTGTGGTCGAGGCGAACCGCCCATCCTGGATCTTGCTCTTTGATCGCATCCTCGAAGGCCCGACGCTTCTGGGGCGTGTGGTGGATCGCGAGGGCAAGCCGCTCGAGGCCCACGTCGAGATCCTCGAGCAAGAGGTTCGCGCTGGTGAGGTCTGGACGAGTCGCCCGCGAGATGGCAGGTTCGCGCGGATGTTTGTTTCGCCCGGAACGTATACGGTGCGCGCCAGCGCGGATGGTTACGTTCCTGTGACCCGAAAGGTGCGCGTTGGCGCGAAGAAGAGCCCTGACAAGGGCGCCATGACGCGGGTCGAGCTCGTGCTCGAGCCCGCGGATTCCCCGAAGAGCGAGTGATTGGTTATGCGTGAGTCGATCGTGTTGTTGTCTGTGTGCGCGTTGTTGCTTGGCTCGCTCTCTGTGGCCAGCGCCCAGGATGCTGGGAAGAAGTCAGCCGATGATGTCAGCAAGAAGGACGTCGTGGAGGACGCTGCTCCCGAGGGTTACAGTGAGATCCCTTGTGGTGATGCTCCCGAAGGGATGAGCTGTGTTCCTGGAGGGGCGTTTCTGCGTGGGCATGACTCGAAGGACAAGAACGCCAGGCCGCAGCAAAAGATCTGGCTGACGACGTTTTATATCGACCAGCGCGAGGTCACCAACGCCGCCTACAAGGCGTGCGTCAAGGCGGGCAAATGCGATGAGGCGGGGCCTCGATACCGAGGTTACAGCGATGACGAGCAGCCGATCACGGGCGTCAGTTGGTTTGACGCCAGGAAGTTCTGCGAGGCGCAAGGGAAGCAGCTCCCGACCGAGTCTCAATGGGAGAAGGCTGCGCGAGGCACAGAGGGCGAACTCAATCCCTGGGGGAACGAGGCGGCGACGTGCGAGCGCGCCGTGATCAAGAACAACAAGGGGAGGGCGTGCGGCGTCAAGAAACCAGGAAGTAAGCCCGAGGCGGGGCGCATCTGGAAGGTCGGAGAGAAGCCCGCAGGCCGCTACGACCTCTACGACATGTCCGGCAACGCCGAGGAGTGGACGCTCGACTGGTACTCGCCGAGCTGGGAAGCCTGCGGCGAGGCGTGCCAGGGGCTCGATCCGAAGGGCCCCTGTGATGGTGCAAAGAGTTGTAAGGGGTATAACAAGCGCGTGCTGCGCGGAGGATCGTGGTACTGGCCTGCGGCCAATGCGACGGGGATTCATCGCCGCGCGAACGTCCCGAGTAATCGGCCCTACCATCACTTCGGGTTTCGATGCGCGGCGACCGTGGAGCAGGCCAAGGCGTTGACCGCGAGCGGCGAGAAAAAGTGACCTCGTGAACCACCAGCGCGGCGCGCGAAAGAAGGGGCCGCCCCATTTTGGTGACCGTCATCGTTCGGATGAACCGGGTATCAAAATGGGGCGGCCCCTTCTTTCGCTCAGCACGAGCGCGGCGTGCCAGAGAAGCTAAAGCGATAAGTGCGCGCCGCGCCCCTCTTCGCGTCGTTAGGATCGGTGGGCCGAAGAAGCGGCCCGTGGATCATGCTCCCTGGAGCGCGTTGAGCGCCGACTCATAGTCTGGCTCCTGCGCGATCTCGGGGACATGCTCGGTGTAGACGACCTTGTGGTCTGCGTCGAGCACGACGACGGCGCGGGTGTAGAGGCCCTGGAAAGGCCCCTGCTCTGCGCCGACGCCGTAGGCGTGTCCGAACTCACTGTCGCGGAAGCCAGACAGCATGACGACATCTTCGATGCCCTCTGCGGCGCAGAAGCGGCCCATGGCGAAGGGGAGATCCTTGCTGATGGTGAGGATCTTGGTGTTCTCGAGCGATGCAGCTTCTTCATTGAACTTGCGCGCGCTCGTGGCGCAGACGCCAGTGTCCACGCTGGGCACGATGTTGAGGACGAGCTTGTGTCCTTTGAAGTCATCGAGCGTGGCGGGCTTGAGATCTTGCTTGGCGAGGTTGAACGCGGGGGCCTGGGTGCCCACTGCGGGAAGATCGCCGACGGTCTCGAATGGGGTGCCTTGAAGGGTAATGGTCGCCATGAAGGTAGCCTCGTTGGGAAGAATACGTGGGGGCAAGTGATAGATTCTCCCCCAAGTTGCGCGCGTCGCGCGCAAAGTCAACCGACCTCGGGAAAAACGTGCTCGCCGATCGATTTGGCTAAATGATCCTCTCCCGCTTGTCGATACCTCCTCTGGATGTGGTGCTATCAAACCAGGGATATAGAGGTAGACATGCAAAGCATCGAGATTAAAAAAAGGTCTGTCTTGATGGTCATTGCCACGGCGGCGATTTCCATCAGCGGTTGTGTAGATTCGGGTGACGAGGCGGGGACACAGATCGAGCCTCCGCGCACCATTGTCAACGCGCTCGAGGCAGGCCAGGGCGTCGATGTGATCGTGGAGTTTTCCATGGCGCCAGAGCTGACGCTCTCGCAGAACCTGGAGCGCCCATCGCTCTCGCTGCAGCAGGTGCAGTTGCCGGTCAGGAGGACCTTCGAGAGGTTGCCCGTGGCCACATCAAGGTTGAGCACGACCGAGGATCTCACGCGCTTGCTGAGTGCTCCCGGCGTGGTCGCCGTGCACGTGGACGAGCGGCTCCCGAAGCACGCCATCGACGCGGCGACCTTCATTCACCAACCCGAGGCGATCAACCGAGGGTTCGATGGCTCTGGGACGGCCATCGCGGTGCTCGACACAGGGGTCGATCTCACGCGCGCTGCGTTCGGGGCGTGTTCGAGCGCGGGTGGTCAGGGATGCAAGGTGGTCTTCGAGAAGGACTTCGCGCCCGAGGATAACGACCACGACATCGACGGCCACGGGACCAACGTGGCTGGCGCCGTGCTCCAGGTCGCGCCCGGAGCTGACATCATCGCGCTGGATGTCTTCGACGGTGACACCGCGAGGAGCAGTGATGTGTTGGCGGCCATCGACTGGGTGATCCTGAACCGACAGACCTACAATATCTCGGCGATTAACCTGAGCATGGGGAGCGGCAAGTTCGCCACGGCGTGCTCGAACAGCGTCTTCTCGACCGCTATCACGACCGCGAGGCAGCAGGGCGTGTTGACGATCTCTTCCTCTGGCAATGATGGCTACACCGACGGGATCGGCCAGCCTGCCTGCGCGCCCGACGCGGTAAGCGTCGGCGCCGTGTATGACCGCGACATGGGGCCGCGCGTCTTCTCGTCGTGCGCGGATACCTCGACAGGACCTGATAAGGTCGCCTGCTTCTCGAATACGGCGGACTACATCTCGATCATGGCGCCGGGCGTCTCGATCCAGGCGGCTGGGATCTCGATGAGCGGGACGAGTCAGGCGGCGCCGCTTGTCGCGGGTGCTGTCGCCGTGTTGCGCTCGGCTTACCCGAACGAGACGATCGAGCAGATCGCGGATCGCCTGATCGATCGCGCGCCGGATATCAATGAGGCACGCGTCGGGCGACAGCTGCCTCGCGTCGACCTCGAGGCTTCCCTCGACCCGCTGTCCGTCGAGTGCGAGGTGAGCTTCTCGGCTGAACGCATCGTCGCCTCACCTCAGGGGGGAACGTACACGGTCGATGTGCAGACGGGCGCGGCGTGCGACTGGATCTTTGGCAAAAACGTGGGGTGGATCGACCTTAAGGATAACAGCGGCACAGGTCCCGGGACGATCACGGTGGTGATCGAGCCGAACGCGGGCTCGACGCGCGGCGCGATGATTTCGAGTAATGCGGGCGCCTCTATCCCGGTGGTCCAGCAGAAGTCTGAGGACAACGCGCCAGAAGGGTTCATCTCGATCGACTTCGGGAGCGCCGTCACGCGCAGCTCTTGGTTGACGCTCGAGACCACGATCACGTCCGATCACAACGTCACCGAGATGTGCGTCGGCGTTGGCGCGCGATGTGAGAATTGGCAGCCCTTTGCTCCCGTCACGTTGGTCGAGGTCCCCGATTCGGATGGCTGGAAGTTCCTGCGTGTCTGGGTGCGAGATGACCAGGGTTACCTCTCGGACGCGATGGAGGAGCATATCATCCTCGACCGCACGCGCCCCATCGATGGGAGCGCGAGGATCTCGCCTGGCGTAGGAGCGGTCACGATTCAGTGGTCGCAGGCGCTCGAGTTCGGCAGCGGCGTGATGTTCTACCGCGTGGTCGCTCGAGATGGGAGCATGCCAAGGGATTGCGAGGTCGAGGAGCACGGTCGCCACGATGATCGCGAGGGTGAGGAGGTCCGTCACCGCGAGCGCAATCAGTTGGTGTATCAGGGGCTCTCCCGAAGCTTCGTGGATGTGCGCCCGGACAAGAAGATGCGCTACTACCGAGTTTGCGCGATGGACTACGCCTTCAACATGTCCTCAGGCAAGACGGTCGCGGGCGGAGCGCGCTGATTCTCGCAGGTAGCTTTGCTCCCCGATTCGCCGGTTGATATAAACGCCCCTGATGTTTCATCAGGGGCGTTTCTTTTTGCCGATGAGGGAGGTTTGCGATGGGTTATGTGAGGATTATCTGGCTCGTGTCGATGCTCGGGTTGTTGTCAGGGTGTGAGCCCAAGAAGGAGCAGAAGCCAGACGCCTCCTCGGGCCAGACGGCGGCCACGACAAAGGACGGTGGCAACAAGGCGGGTCCAGAGAGCGCGCAGAAGGAGGATGTCGGCGAGGAGGATGTCGATGTTCACCTGCGCATCTTGCGAGATTTGCAGGGGTGTGACGCCAAGGCTGAGGAGCTCTGGTGTGGCGTGGCGAGCGCGATGGCAAAGCGGCAGGCTGGGGCGTTGCCCGATGCCTCGATGGTGCAGCTCGGGTGGACGGTGTTCATCCCCACGCAGGCCAAGCCAGAGGCTGCCAGGCTCGCTGGCGAGCCGATCGCGTTGGGGCTAAACCTCAGCAAGGATCAGGAACCGCGCGCGCAGGTCACGCATGTCATCGCGCGAAATCCCGAGAACGCCAACAAGATCAAGGGCCTCGGGAAGCAGGTCGGAGACATCCTGAAGGGGAATCAACCCCCCAGCGAGCCGGTCATTGTTCACGATCCACAGTTGCTCGCCTACCTCCAGGATCAAGCAGCGCGCGCCACGAACGCGATCTCCAAGGAAGGCAAGGGGTGGTCTATCGCGGACGAGAAGCACACGAGGCTCTACCAACTCGCGGGCGGGAAGTGGGCGAGCGTCCACAGGGTGAGGCCGAGGCCCGAACGCCCGGACGGGATCTGGCTTTCGGTGTATACTCCAGTGGAGTTATCTGGCGAGGTCGCGCCGAAGAAGGAGATCGATCTGGCGGCGGTGACGGCCAAGTTCGACTGCACGCATAATGCCGTGCAAGTCAAGCTGTGTAAAGGTTTCTCAAGATTCAAGGCTGCAAAAAAGCCCGAGGCGATGACGGGCAAGGTCGAAGGATTGCGCGTATACTTTGGAGAGATCCAGGATTCCGAATCGCTGCCATCTCCAGAGACGATGTATGGCGCGTTGTTGATTCGCGGCGGCGAGGATGGCGCCGAGATCGCGTTCAGCGTGGTGATTCCCAGCAGCGACGAGGAGCGCGAGGCGCTCGAGGCGTTGCAGAAAGGGGTCGAGAAGGGAGAGGCGATCCAGAAGAACGCGGCGCTCGACTACCTGATGGGGATCACCAAGCACCCCTCGGCGTTCGGGAGCGTGACTCAGAGCGAGGGGACGAGCGCGTTGGTGCTGCGTCGAGGGTTGTTCCAGGGGGGACCTGACGAGCGAACGATCTCCTATTTTCGAGCCGAGGGCGATCGATATCTCGCGGTGACGCACGAACATATCGGCGGAAAGGTGTGGTTCTGGGATCTTGGCCCGGTCAAGCTGCCGGGCAAGTGACCCGATTTTGAATTTGTCTGTACTTTTGTTCAGTCTTTTGTTTAAAGTCGAGGGATGAGACATGCCTCGTGACAGGGACGTTTGGGGTGTAGGAGGAGGTCGCGACTCACGAGAGGAAGGAACGGTGATAGAGATCAAGAGCACGAAGCAGGTGGTGGATGATTTTGGGCTCAAAATCCTGGTGCATGGCCCTCCCGGTGTGGGGAAGACGCGCCTTTGCGTGACCACGGGGGACATCGATAACACGCTTATCATAAGCGCCGAGGGCGGGTTGCTCTCGATCAAGGACTGGGATGTGGATGTGGCGCAGGTGCGCAACGTCAATGACGTCTATCAGGTCTACGAGTTTTTAAAGCAGGGCGAGCACGATTACACGTGGGTGTGTCTGGATTCGATCTCCGAGATCGCCGAGGTGATCTTGCAGGGGGAGAAGCTTCGCAACCGTGATGGTCGGCGCGCGTACGGCGAGATGGCGGACACGGTGTTCGACCTGCTGCGAGGGTTTCGCAACTTGCCATACCACGTGGTGATGACGGCCAAGCAGGGGCGCGAGGAGATCGATGGTCGCGTGCTGCACGCGCCGATGTTGCCTGGTCGTCAGCTCACGCTGAACATCGCCTATTTGTTCGACGAGGTCTTCGCGTTGCGCGTGGAGACGAACCAGGAGGGCGAGCTTATCCGCGTGTTGCAGACGGGGAAGAGCCGCTCGTTCGAGGCCAAGGATCGTTCCGGCAAGCTCGGGATGTACGAGCAGGCAAACCTCGAATCGATCCACCGCAAGATCGCCGGGTTGCCCGAACTCGTGGTCGAGGAGGACGAGGAAGAGGAGATCGTCCAGACGAACAAGGAGGGGGACGTCAAGCGGATCGCGGTGCCTCCGGCGACGGATAGAAAGCGCGTCACCTCGAGCGGGGATGGCGAGACCAAACGCATCGGCGGTGGCGCAGCGAGCGAGCTGCGTCGCACGAACCTTCGCCGCAAGCTGTTCATGTTGCTCAAGGAGGCGGGCATCAAGAACGCGATGATCACCGAATACATCACCGCGCGTTGCGAGCGCGAGGTCGGCGTCGAGGGGGTCAATGATGTGCCCATCGAGATCCTCGAGCTGTGGGCGCAGGAGCTCGATATCCCCTCGAAACCTGCCGATGGCGCCAAGTTCTCACCGCGCAGGATGCATATCAACGCCACCATCAAGCTCTGGAAGGAGTGGAAGGGGAACCAGCAGCAACC